GGGATTTTGAGTCTCTTTCCTCAGGGGGAGTGCAGTGGGAGTGGGGCTGTTCCTTTACCTATTCCACTGGGTGATGAAGGCTGTAGTGGTGAGGGTGGTCAGAGGGATCAGGAGTTGAGAGTCTATCACAGGCGATGCAGGCAGGTTGATCCTAATCATCGGCAGTCCCGGCCAGTTCCAGTTCCTTCTGCGGCTCCTGATCCAGAGCCTACTGAGACACCTTCCACTGTTGCCACTTCCCCTCCTGTGGATGACCTTGATCTCCCTATTGCCATCCACAAAGGGAAACGGAATCGCTCCACATCTACAGCTCACAGCATCTCACAGTTCTAATCCTATGATCGCCTATCTCCCTCTTACCGGTCCTATCTCATTTCCATTGCCAATGTCCCTATTCCAAGAACAGTGCAAGAAGCCTTATCAGTTCCAGAATGGAAAGATGCAATGCAAGTCGAAATGGATGCCCTGTTGAACCGATGTCCCTATTCCAAGAACAGTGCAAGAAGCCTTATCAGTTCCAGAATGGAAAGATGCAATGCAAGTCGAAATGGATGCCCTGTTGAAGAATAATACGTGGGCACTGGTTGACCTACCAAAAGGAAAGAAACCGATTGGATGTAGATGGGTATTCACTGTGAAGCATAATGTTGATGGCTCTATTGAAAGGTACAAAGCCCGGTTGGTCGCAAAGGGGTTCACGTAGACTTATGGTATAGACTACTTGGAGACCTTTGCCCCAGTAGCCAAGATGACCACCATTCGAGTTTTGTTATCCCTTGTAGCAAATCATTCTTGGCCCTTGTTCCAGATGGATGTTAAAAATGCCTTTCTGAATGGAGACTTACAGGAAGAGGTCTACATGTAGTTGCCTCCTGGATTCTATGATACAGAGACAGGTAAGAAGGTTTGCCGACTGAACAAGGCATTGTATGGTTTGAAGCAATCACCTAGAGCCTGGTTTGATAGGTTCAGATTAGCCCTTGGAAAGTTTGGTTATATACAAGCCCAGTCAGATCATACATTGTTCATCAAGAGGGTGGAGTCCTCTCTGACACTACTTGCAGTATATGTTGATGATATTGTGGTGACAGGAAATGATAGCCATGAGATTGAGTTCCTCAAACAGCTCCTTCATCAAGAGTTTGAGGTGAAAGATCTTGGTGCACTACGGTATTTTTTGGGTATTGAGGTTGCTAGATC